CTTTTCTTTCATTTCCTTTGTTTCTTCTTCTGTTGGGCTCGTCTCTTCTTTTGAGGAATCCCAAGTTTTGCTTTCATTTCTTGTCAAAATCTTTCCATCTTCTTCTCCTGAGCTCGTCTCATCTTTTGAGGAATCCCAGGTTTTTTTTTCTTTGATCTTTTTCTGACCTTTTCCCCTCTTTCTTCCTTTTCCTTTCTTCGTCACCAGGTTCATTTCCACCGTTTGTTCTTTCTCTGATTCGTCCGTAATTTGTTTCTCTTGTTCCTTATCCTGTTCTTCTTCTTTTTCCTTTGTTATTTTCATCGTATTGGTTTTGAAGTCGATCACTACATGTTTTTCCGTTAATTCGTCAACGCCTACAATCATGTCATGTGACATATTCGGCATTATTACACATTGAAGTGCATACATATTTTTTTTCAATCGTACCATTACTCGTATACCTTCATTTATTGTTGCCAATGTCCGTTTATTTGCGCCCACTAAATTCACCCTAGGTATTTTATAAATTAGACTTGTTAAATTTACTTCTTCGATTAATTTTCTGTTGACCAGTGTTATTTCAGAGCCTGTGTCTATCATAATTTTAATTGGTTTCTCATTTATAAATCCATCCACAAATTTTAAATTAACTCCATTTCTCTTTTCATTGTTTCCTGCCAGTTTAATAAATTCCTTGGGGTGACAAAAAATTCCTGTTTGTTTCTTCGTTTTTAGTGAGCGCCTTCTTGAAAACACGCCTGTTGTTCTTCTGTGTTTTCTCGCCCGTCATCTTCTCTCTCATATTCATTTTCTTCTCTTTGCATATTATTTATTTCTCTTCTGTTCTCTTTTGGTCTATCATTCCCGTATCGGTTACCGCGAGATTCCTGTTCATTCCGTGGGTTATTGTATCTGTTTCCTTGGTATGGGCGGTTATTTCTACTCTGATTTTCCCGATCCCTGTTTTCATTCCATCTCTGGGTTCTGGGTTCATAATTCTCTCTTCCGTTCGGTCTATTTTCGTATCCCCGTTTAGGTATGAATTCTCGTCTTGGATAATCTCTTCTAAAATTTTGACCTCTATCTCTATATTCTTGGTTTTCTCTTTGTCTATAATTTTCTTGCGGTCTTCTTTCTCTTCTTTCATGCCTACGTGATTCTCTCATTTGCAAAAATTGACATAAGCTGTCAATGTCCTTGTAATTTTGGAGATTTATGTGGTCTTCCAAGGTATCTTCAAAGTGTCGCGATATCAACTCTACCAATTGTTCTGATGAATAATTATATTGCAAATGTTTTGCATTATTATAGAGTTGTAATGCGTACATCTTTTCTGATACGCCCATCCTCTCATGGTATTTTCCATTTTGTAACTCTTTATTTACTTGTAGTTGCTGGATTTTTCCCCAGAAATAATTTAAGAATCTTCTCTCAAAATCTTGCCAATTGTCAAATTCTTCTTCCTTGCTGACAAACCAAAGATTTGCCTCTTCTTTGAGATGGTTTCGGATGGTTTCCTTTGCTGTTGCAAACGGTCCTATGTATGTGACTTTTTTCTTTAGGTTATTTATAAAAGGCACTGGGTGTAGTTTCCTTATATCCCCGCCAAATCGTACTTTTACGTCTTCTGTGCTATGTACGATAACTTCCTTTCTTTCTACTCCTCTTATCTCCATCTCTGCAATTTGTTTTTCATTTTGCTTAAGTTTCCTTTCCATTTCTTTCCTGTCTTCTAGTAACGCCATTTCAAATTTTTCTTCTAACTTTTCCAGTTCCTTTTTCTGGACAGCCTTAATATCCTTCATTTTAGTTTCCATTTCTTCTCTCTGCATCTCTAGTTTCCTCTCTGTTTCACTAACTTTTTCTAAACAGACTTTTACTTCATTTTCATATTTGTCCAAACGCTTTTCCATTTTTCTATCATTTTCTTCTAATTTCTGTTCTATTGCTTGTCTTGTTTTCCGTTGGTTTTCTTCGATTTTTAGTGATGTTTCTTTTTGGTTCTCTTGTATGGCCTGTTTTGTTGATTCTTGTATTTGTTGTGTCTGTAATTGCATCATTGCTAATAATTTTTCTATTCCCGATTCTTGTTTTTCTGTCTCCATTACTGTTGTGTCTAATACGTCTTCCTGGTCTGAATATTCTTCCTGTTCTGATTTATCTTCTTGTTTTTTGTTCTCTTTGCTCTTGTTTCTTGTGTTTGGCATTTATTATGTTTTTATCCCCGCCAAATATAAAATTCTACTGGTCTGTTGCAACAAACGGGACTTTTCTTGTTCAAATGTAATAACTCTTGAGTACGAGTATCAAATTTCAATATCCCACAAATAAATCAAATTGTAAAATATCAAATCTCAAAATCAATCAAATAAATCAAGTATGGTAAAATTATCAAATGTAAATATCACACAAATGAATCAATTATGGTAACCTATAAATTGTCAATATCACGAATAAATCAATTATGGTAAATTGTATCTTAAAAAAATATATAAATCTTTATGTCCTCAAATTTTACATAATATTTCACTTTATCCACGGCATATAAACTTTCAAATATCTGCTCGTCTACTCCTATCCTTTCAAATTTGCCAACTACAAATATTTTTCAAAGCTTTACACGTTGGGGGCCATTTTGTTATGCTATTTAAATTGTATTCTATTGCTTATTTAGAAAAGATCTGTCTATATTTATTAAATGATCTAATCTCCAATTAATCACAATAAATCAGCATTAATTAATTACAATCTCAGGCTATTTAACTTGTACTATTTACCTTTGATCGTGGATTCAAAATATTTTCCAATTGGCTTCCTAATTGGGATAGGTAATATGACCTGAATAAAATACACAGAATTTCAACTGAACTATATGTGAGATGTCCTTTATTTTAATGAAATTTTATATAACAATCAATGCTGTAATATTTGCAATATAATACTTTAAATATATGAGAAGTTGTTTTCTATCATGGACCCAAATGTTATTTTACATTGATTTTTAATATGTGTTATAACTAAGCTCTCTTTATAATTTTTTTCTTTAAATGATCGCAAAATTAACTGTCTCTATTATTTATTCAATTTATTTAATTAATAAATGAAAACCACACTCCTGCTCTAATGAAAATTGACTGACCTTTCGTTCTCTGCCGTTGTAATTCTATGGCCACGCCATAAAAAAAAACCTTTCTCTGCTTCTGCTCCTATTGTGGTCCAGATGACGTACACCTTTCTCCTATCTGTCCTTGTATCTGCAACTCAACAACTCGTGTAATTCTATGCAGCCTCCTTTTGAGCGAATCTCCGCGCCTGTTTATAACTTCAAATGTTTCCGGCTTCGTCTGATATTAATATTCTTATACCCTTTGGTTTTTCTATCTCTCTGTACCCCGTTCCTCACACTGATCAGCTTTTACACAGCAAATAAACACACCCGGTAAATTACGTCTTCGGGACTTCAAACAAACACAAACCACAAAGCTCCTTCCTTCTTGGGCGACGAAAACTGACTAACTAACTTTTTTCCTCTCTCCTATCTCATAGCCAAAACCACTACCTCCATTGCATTCAAAAATTGACCAATAAAAATCATCCACCTCTGTGACGTATATCGTTACCAACCAACTCTCTTTATAAAACGTCATTCGGGTAATTCCAGAAAACAACATTCTTTAATTATTCTAACTAAATCTATCTGCTTTACAAATATTTCTTACTAATAGCTACAAACGATACCTGTTTCTCAATTCAATGTCTTTTGTTAATAAACTTTTACCGATATAATCTTTCGGGGAGAAAAACCACCGCAAATCCCGGTCTATTGTTTAAACACTGTCTATATACACTTTTATTCTGGGTAAATCCATTCCACAATAACCGACTTATTTGAATTTCTTATCGATAATATTTGAAAGTCTTGTCTCTGAGGCCTAATGAACAATTCTTCGAACAACTTAAAATACATATTTTGTCTTATACAGGATGTTTGAAAATTTATATGCCCGTGTCTTTATGAAATATCAATAATTTTAATTTTTATTTAAGTAATAAAATTTGTATATCGGTTTTTTATTGCTAATGGACATTCAAAAGTACAACAATATATATATATATATATATATATATATATATATATATATATATATATATATATATATATATATATATATATATATATATTATATATATATATATATATATATATATATATATATATATATATATATATATTTATATATGAACGGCTTTGAACTAAATTTCACTAGCATTACTCTGTCAACAAGTTAATACTGATTGAGCTAAGTGTTTTGCTACTATGATTGCAACTCCCACCTGTCTAAAGATATAATGTAATATAAGAAGCAAATGATTTAAATTATTAATAAACGTATTTTGTTGCAACGATCTTTTAAGTTTGTTCACGAGTGAATTAAAAAAGATTTCTTATCCCACCTGTAGCAAGATCACTAATTCACGTAGGTGAATATCCTACGACTTTTTCATCTTCCCATAATTGGCAAAACCATGAAAGGGTAGAGGTTTGTCACGATTAAAGGAACATATACCGTGTCTGTATAAGAGATCAACGACTACCAAGTGGATAAAACGAATTTGGAAGAAACACAAGTTTGTTTTCGTGAAAAAAAAAGTTGCCTCTTTTAACAATTAAATAATTTGAAAACTATTTTAAAACTAGTTGTTTGCATTTTTGGTTATAACACTCATGTTTATATATAGATAAAACTAGTACAAAAGCCCCCTCCCCCAAATTACTAAGTTGGTATTTTTTACATCATACTGTTTTACACATTACGTTTTGAGAACTGCCATCTATGTACGTTTCAGAATTTTACGCTTGTATGTAATTAATTACGTAAACGATATATCAAAGGACTCATTAAAGCAATAATTTTTTCAAGAAATTTAACTTATGGAGTTGCGACGTGTTCTAGAATTTAATTTTTTATTTTAAAGTTAAAAATTACTGGTATAAAATAAACATATGTGTATTTTAGAGTTACCTCTGGACCTTTTAACTCTTAAGAAACAATTTTGCGAGGATATTCTCGAATTATTATTAAAATTGCGTCTTGGTCTGTGTAAGATCAGAGGCCTACTACTTTATGAAATATATATGTGCGACAAAGAAATAAAATTAAAAGAAGGGGGAAATAACGAGGTAAGAGGTATTTTTTGTCTATTAACAACTTTTCATATTCATAAACAGTTTTTATTTATATTTATAACAAATTATATTCACAATACTATGACTAGAGACTGGAAAATATGCACTAAAAAATGTCTAAGATATGCATGCAATATGCATTTTCAAACAGGCTAAATATCCACAAATAATATGCAAATATACATTTATAATTTAGATATATGCACTTATTTTTATACAGGAATCATCGAATCGATGATTCGATGATTCCTGTATTTTGGCAAAAGAAAAGAACCATTCTAAACGTGTTTTTTTGGAAATGTGTTTCATAAAATCTAGCACATCTTGCATCAACAAAAAGTCCGACATAGACAAATTAAGCAACATTTATTGTTATTTGCTAGAAAAACACCAAAAATAAAATAAATATTTACCTGTACATAAATTACACCTCTATGTATAGTATGTTGCATACCATTAAGAGTGGTTTAAAAAGTATAGTCACCTAAGAAGGGCCTCTAGTATTTCTTGAAAAGAAAGATAACATCAATTACATCTAATTACATATTAATTACAGTGTTTTTACTTTCCATTCTCTGTATGAGTTAATATACACCAGTAAAACGTGCCATCAACCAAGTTTTACTATTTTTACAACAAATTTTAAAAATTTTTATAATGTACTCTGTCCATAATTGTATATTTTAATGTGTGGTATAAATATTGAGTGTCAATGCTTATATAAATAATCTCAACGACTAGTAAGCTACACTGAAGAATTGTAATATTTTTTAAATATTTACATATTTGTCTTATTACAGTGTCTTGTAAAACCATTCGAAAACCATTCCGAAAGCTCGACAAAAAGTCAAAAGAGTGTTTTTTTTAACATCTCGGCCAATATTCTGACTGAAACCCTAATAAACTGTGGTTGTTTGTATATATATATGTATGTATGTTGATTGATAAATTTTGCAATTCTATATCAACTAATGTAAAGGTACTTAAGATAGATATAATGAAAAATGTAGGTGTCACAGTGACTAACTACTTAATACTTTGATAAATGTCTGAATAATGACAATATTATTATAAGATTAAATGAATAGTTATAATTGTTATACAATGTTAATCTTGCTAATATGTTTCTTGATAATGAGTAAAAATTTAGATATATTAATAATTGGAATGATCTGTGATTTTCTATAATGTATGTGAGACAATACAGCATAAACGCTGATTTGATTTTAAAAAACGTCACACAGAGATTGATCACGAGTTCTTGTTTTAGATAAATTCAGATAGTTCAAATAAGTATCTACTGGAAGCTGCCGTTATTTTAAAATACGATGCCAGTGCTCCTGAAATTGTGAAACAACTTGTACAAGTGAATGGAAATTAATGCGAATAGTATGTGAATAAAAATTTGTAAACACAATAAAAACCTTTTTTATAAAGCCAAGTCTTCTTGTTTTTCTTTTTAAGATACCTATCCGTTCTAGATTATTGCGACCAGTAATGAAATTCCCAATTTATTTACAGCTACACAAAAAAGTTTAGTGATTGTTAGGGAAAATTAAGATTATAACTAAGAAGTATCTACGTTTTCTTCCAGGTCTTCACTTTCTATCAACTTTTCCATGAAGAATTAGTTGTAATTAACTATATCTCTGTTCGTTTCTCGTAATATGACTCAAATATTGTATTATTTGCTTTTAGAAAAAAATCCCTCGCCCCAGCATCGTCAAACGGATTAAGCTCTGAGGGGCTCTTTCCGTGTTGTCGAACCCTATGTGATCTGGTAAGCCGGAGTATCTTTCCAAAAATTTTCTTATGCATCTGGACGAGAGATGTACACTTTATTAGACTTCGTACTTTCCATTCATTATTTATGGGACTTGGCGATCTTGTATAAGTATATTTAACACGCCAATTATCATTGTTAGGTATCACTACATCATTGAGTGTTGGTATAGCTAGTTTATTAACTATTATTTGCTACTGGTTGCTCTGACAAATTCCAGGCAATTCCTCTGAGAAATTTGATTGATTTTTTAAGCTTAAGCAGGTTTATTTAATAGAGTTATGAAAGTGGGACAAATGCTAGACAAATGGGAAAAGCTAGAAAAAAAGGGAGATATACAACAATACACAAATTACAGCGTCATAAAACTACTTAGCCACAGCATGAAAATAGGGGAGAGAGTAATTGATAGACATAAAGAAACGTAAAGAAACCGAAATATTCATTAATACGATTGGTTTGATTCAAGGTAGATCAGCAACAGATGTAACTTTTATTATGATGATGACAAGATAGCTGATGGAAAAATACAGAAATAAAGCATAGCTTATGAATAAACAAAGCATACGATACAGTTTCTTGAGATATTATGTGGTGGGCGCTAAATACGAAAAGAGTTGGCGGTGCATATATGAAGATTATTGTGAGAAACATGTATGAGGGAGTATCAACTAGTGTTAGAACAGGTCGTATGTAAGAGAGTGATCAATTTGATATGGAGGTAGGATGGCATTGAGGCTTGGTGCTTAGTCTTTCTTTATTATCATATCCAAGAATTATTGTTGGATCAGATAACAGATAAATCACAGAATAACATTCTCTGGTGCTTAACGTATGTTGATTATGTAGTGTTAGTATGGAATACTGAAAGGGATTTAGAATAAAAACTGGAACAATAGAGACAAACTCTTAAAGGAAAAAGCTTTAAAACTTATAAGGACATAAACAGAGTATTTAAAATGTCAAGCATTAATGTTTGTATTATGAAAACGATTTCCGAAGTGGAAATTGAAACGTCAATAAACTTATTTGAAACTTCAATTGTGGTTTATTCCCATTAAAATAGTAATTACTTTAAGATGCCACAACAAAAAAGATTCAGAATATTTTAAAATTGAGTAAAGTAATTTTATTATTTATTTATTGATTTTATTAAAATTGATAAATTTTATATGTTGTATAACGGACTCTCCTCGTGGCGTCAATCGACTCTTCCAACTGTTTACTGCGTTGGCTATTTTGTAAAAAGCCATATTTAATAGGTGCTGCTTTAGCAATCTCTTCCACAGTATAGATTTGAAAATTCAACTTAAAATGTTTTACTAAGAACTCTTTTTGTCACACTTTAATACAATAGTCGAACTGAAACCCGACATTGTATATGTTGGTATATGAAATTATTTTAAAAATTAGAAGTGCCTAGAATAAAAATTTAAACATATTATTTAATATTGTTATTAATTGGATGGCATGTAAGCTAACTTTTAAATTTTGACCGTTCAATAATCGCTAAGAATCGAATTCTATTATCGATCTTGTTTTTTGTCTGTTTGTTTTAATAAGTTCATCTCTTACTTTTTATTTAATGTATGCATTTTGTGAGTTATGTTTCATGCAATTTTTAATTTCAATCTCCTTAGAATAAATATAATGATAACTAGAAACGAATTGATGGAAAGTAGTGAATCGTTGAGAAGGCCATTATTTCGTGATGACCGCCCGCCTCAGCATTTTACTATAATGAAAAATTAACAAAACAACAGTATAGAAGTTTCGCTTCAAAATACATATGATAATGTGCTTATTTGGGAATAATTGATTAGAGTTTACAGACAAAGCTTTATTTTGATAGTTTAAAATTTTATTGCTTAATAATGTTTAATATTTTAAACAAAATTTAAAACACATCTACAAAGTAGTATTGATGTTTTTACTTTTTTCATATAATAAACATCTTTTAATCAAATCTGGAAAATTCAGTTTAAACTAGTTAAACAGGTTCTTTTTAACCAATTAAATAAGCTTTAAGCCAGTTTGGTTTTAAAACAGGACAAATCTGATACAAAGTTCGTGTTCTATTCGCCTGTCTACGTGTTATTTAATCGAAATCAGGTAGATAAGAACGTTGATTATAAACTTAACATTGCGTAAAATGGTAGTATTTGAATTCCTTCACATAAAAAATTAATAGAAAATCTAATCGTCTGAAAAATCTAAGAATTTTACAATTTTGATTTGTCTGATTTTACAATTATACAACTCATGTCCCCGTCACACTACTCCATCGAGTAATAAGACAAAAGAGGGAATGTAAAGGTAGTGGGGGTAAACATATTGATAGACAGGAAGTGCTATTTTGAGAGGCCACTTTAAACAAGGACAGAGAATCTCTTTCCTTGTTTAAGAAATCAAATTTAGTTGGGTTATGTTATTGTTGATGTTATTGTTTGTCAAAACTGTTACATGAAAGCTTATTTATATTTTCTATTAAAGTTTTTTAACAATTGTTTAACATTTTAGACTATTATCGTTATTAATTAATTAAAACTTTATTGTGTTCTAGTGTTAAAAGAAGTATTTTAATAAATAATTTTAATAAATAAATAGATAAATATATAATATAAAATATTATGTAATATAAACTAAATAAATAGATAAATTAGAACCCCTACACTACTGTATGATTATTGTCAAATGTCATGAAATTTAAATTTGGCGCATTTGCATTTCCGGATATGTCCGCCATCAGAGGCCACTTTTTTGGTCTCCTTTTCATAACGATTAGATTCCCTCTTTTGTCTTATTGCTCGATGCACTACTCGCTGTGTCTAAATCTTTTCAGTTGTCTGATTACCTAGTCTATTACAAACTTTTAAACATAAAAAATACTAGCATTGATTACCTTCTACAACTAAGGTACTGGATCATCATCATCAGTAACCGTTTTGAGTCCACTGCTTCTTGACATACGCCTCCCGTAAATAACATTGATTTCGGTATTGAGCACCTTAAATCAATTTGTGCTAGATGCGCTTGATGTCATCTGACGATCTTAATGAAGAGCATCCTCGATTACGATAAGGCCGATAAGCATCGTGTCTAGGTATACATTCCAAAATCTTTCTTGATTTTAGATTCTTGATTTCTTGATCTATCTTCCATCTCTGACTCTGAAAACATTTTTTGCCCAGTTCAATTTCAGCGTTGTAATTCTTTTAACTGCGTATGTAACCCATTTGATTTGAAACTCTGTCTTTAAGAGATATATACCATATTGACCTTTTTATTGACCTACATTTGCTATATGCGACTAGAATTTTCTTTATTACTTTTTTGGTAAGCCTCTGTGTCTGCTGCATACGTACGAACCGGGAGCACACACTGACCAAGGACCTTCCTTTTCCAGCACATGGGAATATCTTATCTAAAGACGTCTCTCAGTTTTCCGTAAGCTGCTCAGGTTAGTCCAAGTCTCGGCTTCAACTCAGATATTTGGTTTTTCCTTCCCAATTTCATCTCGTGGTCCAAATACTTAATAAATAAACACTTTTACAATTTGAGTGCCATACGTTGCAAAATGTTTTTGGCCACAATAAGATTGGTCATGTATTGAATTTTAGAAAAGCTAATTGTAAATATAACTCGTGCACAAGAGCTCTAAAGGTCTAGAAGAAGTTGGCATGCATGATTTATCCGGTCTGCAATAAGGACTACGCCGTCTGCAAATCTCAAATTGTTCAGAAACTCCCCATTTATATTGACTTCCATATTTTTCGAATTAGTGTTTCCCATAGCGCTCTGCAACTAAGCAGTGAATAGTCTGGAAGAGATGGTGTCTCCTTGAAAAAATATCCTTCTCCGAGGAAAATGTGTTTATGTCGCCTTAGTACATTCTGAGTCGCCATGCTACTGGATACTTAAGAATATTACCGGTGAGATTCCACTATTTTAAGTATATTTCCATGTTTTGTATTAAAACTTTAAAAGGTTAGATAACAGACTTAGGAATGGAATTGGGGAATATTACTAAAATTTCCACATAAATTTAAAAAATATAAAAAATCAATATGGTAAAATATTATTGTATATTTCTATTTTTATTTATAACATATTTAACTATAATTAACACTTATATATGTTTTGTTGCCAATATCACATCTTTATATCATTCGGGTGTTCTCCATTTTGATTTCATTAAGAAGAATAGAATATCCTCATCCATTCTGCAAAGAACAAAGCCAAAACGGACCTATTTTAAAGCTTTTCATGTCAGTTAAATACGTTGGCATTCAAGTCATGGTGCGATGGACAGTTACGTTGCCTTCAAAATAATTGTCAAAACTACCATACCTCGCTTTTATTATTGGTAAGCTATTTCTGTATTTAAATCTGTCATATTCTGGATTTGTCGAGGGTTTCCCTCTACTGCCGAAACGCAGAAGTCTGTTTGTAGCTGAACCAGGAGGCAATACCTAAAAAATACACAGTACACTTAAATACATTATGATCGAAAATATGGCAGTAACTACAATAGGGAGAAACAATAAAAATATGTGAATAGATTTTCGTATAGGTACCAATAATTTAGTATTTTCAAGAATAGAGTTGTTTTCTGGAACAATAATACATAGAATTGTATTGTGTAAACGGTTTATACGGCCCATTGTCTCCTTAATTATATCTTCGTGAGCCTCTTAGTCCAGCTATCAGAGAGTTAACCCCTAAAAATCATATGAACAAGCTGTATTGTGCCGAGAATATTAATTTTGGGACCCCAAAAAAATGCAAAAAAATTTACCACTTTTACCCCCCGGGCTTCCCACTAATACCCCTCCGGCAGGGGGGTAAAAACGCAAAAAATCGATTTATGTATTAAAAAATCAGTACGCCGTAGAAAAAAATATTTCAAATAAAAAATTTAGCTGGGATAATTTTGAACAAAAAGGCTAATTAGCACTTTTTGTGTAGAATAAACCATTCTCTCAGAAAGAGCGCTTGAAGCGACCGTCGATTTTGAATGTGTCACGTGCGCGAAATCAATGTTCAATAAAATTTGTATCAACTCAAGGGAAATAATTCGATATCTTTTGATACAAGGTTCCTATCGACAAAAATCAAGATGCATTTTAAAGGTAAAGAGTACTGCTTTCGTATGCAGTTTTTGTATTGTACCGCGAATAAACAAAATAGAGTTAATTGTGTTAGTAAACAAGTTGGGGATTTAATAAATTGATTATAGAGATGTGTAACATTGGTGTCAGCATTTGAATAAATTATGTTTAAAGAAGTGTAATATTGGACCACCCCCACAGTTTTTTTTAAATGGAAGAAGCGGAAGAAAATTGTCGTGATGTGAAGGAGAGGTGTATAGAAAAGAAAGAGAAACGTTGAGAAGAAACGTAGACAAGAGGAAAAAAAGAGGAGTAGACAAGAGAAAGAAGAGAGGTTTAGTAAAGTAGAGGAGAATATTATAAATTATTTATCCCATATTCACGAAAATTCTAATTTAGAGGTAAGTTAAATTACTAGTAGAATAGATAAATTTGAAGAACAACAGAACGATATAAAAACCGGTTTAGAAAATAAAACAGAACAACAGCAAAATGTTTTAAAATCTAATGTAGAAAGACAAATAGTTGAGTTAGAAAGAAAAATTAATACCCAACCTTCTTTATCTAATATTGTTTCAGTAACTAATATTGAATCTGTACAAGCAGCTTTATTATTTCTCATAGGTAAACCAGGCACAATTAGAACTAGCCAAATTTTAAAACCACCCACATTCTAGGATCAAAGAGCATGGGAAACTTATAGTTTTTAATTTGAATCTGCGGTTAGACCAAATGGATAGACCGAAAAAGAAATGGCAGCTTCCTAGGTAGTGTCGCTTCGAGAGCAGGTAGTAACCGTCTTGCAATTTCTTTCCCAAGAGAGACCCAGTTATATCTCTCCTGTTTAAGCTTTTGAGACAATATATGGCCAGCAGCATCTAAACCAAGTGTTTTAAAGTCAGCTAAAAATTTGATATGAAAAGCATAAAGAAAGCCTACCAGAATTTGAAGCCGATATTAAAAGATTATTGCATTTGGCGTACCCTTAGGCACCTAAACATTTTCTGAAACAAATTGGTATATAGACATTCATATATGGACTGCAGGATGTAGAAATGCAACAAGCTCTCCCAATACATTACAAAACGCTAGATGGACCACTAATCTCAGCCAAGGAGTATGAAATCTCGCCCAAAATTAAAAGAAATAAGATTTTGCGACAGATTTTCCTGTACTAACAGAGCTATTTAATAGATGTCTCCATAATAGCCAGATCCCTAAAGACTGGAACGAGAGTCTAGTAATACTCTTACAAAAAAAAGGGGACAAATGTGATCTACAGAATTATAGACCTATATCGTTGCTCAGTCAAGTATACAAACTATTTATGAGAATTATTAATAACCGGTTAACCTACAAAATGGATAATTACCAACCGGTTGAACAGGCTGGCTTCCGCAAAGGATATAGTACATCAGACCATCTGCTGACAATGAGAACATTGATAGAGAAGGCAAATATGAAAAAAACAAAAATAATGACAAACACAGAAGACCCCAAACATATAATCATAAACGGCAGTGAGATAGAACAAATCCAGGAATATATCTACCTAGGCCAAATCCTAAGACTTGACAAAGAGAATCAAAGTGCGGAAATTACTAGAAGAGCAAGACTAGCATGGGCAGGATTTGGAAAACTTAGTTGGATACTTAAGAACCCCAGTAAAATACCCCAATACTTGAGGAGCAAAGTGTTCAACCAATGCATCCTTCCTATCATGACATATGGATGTCAAACATGGACCCTAACCATGGCAAACATGAATAAACTAGCCACAACAGAAAGAACAATGGAAAGAGCAATGTTAGGTATACGACTATCAGATAAAAAGAGGAACGACTGGGAAAGATCCAAAACAAAAGTCGAGAACATAGCAATAAAAATTGCAAAACTTAAATGGAGCTTCGCGGGCCACACTGCTAGACAGAAAGACCAACGTTGGAATACTACAATACAAAATTGGAGACCTTACGAAAGTAAACGACCAAGAGGAAGACCACAGATGAGATGGTTGATGACATTAAAAGAATAGCCGGAACAAATTGAAAATATGTTGCTCAGGATAAAGACCGATGGAAGGAGTTGGGAGAGGCCTATGTCCAAACATGGACGACAGAAGGCTAAGAAGAAGAAAGATTTTGCGAAAAGAAGACAACCGCAGATAATCAACAACCTATTTTATCCCAAATTCTAAGCGTACTGCAAAATCTTTACCAAAATACTCGAAATAAAAACAGAAGATATTTTATTTGCGGAAGAATGGGGCATTTGCAAAACAATTGCAAAAGCCGATTCCAAGCAAGTAAATAAGAACCAAAGAATGAGGTCAAAAGGTCACCTAGATCCAGAAGCCCGTCACATAGTCCTACTAGAAGTACTAGTAGATGTATGTCTCCAAGAAATCGATTTCCCACAAATGACCACAGAATTGAAAAAGATAATCTGATATTTAAAGTTACATAGTTAAAGGAGCATCTGACGATTAGTGAACATGGAATAAAAAAGTTAAGAAAACAGGTGACAATTTTCCAGATTAAACAATTATAAGAGTTTCAAGATGCTTTGAACGAACCTATAGATTCAAAGTCAGTGACAGCTTGAAGCAACAAAAACTGTTACCGAAACAGTAAGTCTATAGAGGACCACAGTTAAACAGGAAGAAGATAACGATTTAACTTCCCTGGAAAACCCTAAAACGAGCCAAAAGAAAGATAATGATTTAAAAATCATACGAGAATGGGTTAAAAATGGAGTAAAACTTATTTGTTAGGAAATAAACAAATACAATGGAACTATAAAGACGTACTAGGCTTAATGGGAATCTCTATATCTTTCCAATCGTCTATTATATCGGAATTCGGAAAGGCCCGATGGAGTACCTATAGTTTAACAAGTGATACTTCCAAAATCACACATTAAAAGTGTGTTGCAAAAACTTCATAGCAGCCTTTCTGAAGAACATTTTGGTGCCAAAAGAACACTGACCAGAGTTCGAGACTAATTTTACTGGATCAATTGCTGCCGAGATGTAGAAGATTGGTGTAAGAAATGCAATTCATGTAACGATAGGAAAGACCCTAGAAAAAGAAATCGTGGTAAAATAGCACGATATCTTTCGGAGAGCCGGTTTTTGAACGACTTGCAGTGTATATTCTCGGTCCACTTCTGATGACAGAGAGAGGAAACAAATGCTTAAAAAGTCGCAATGGTTTATTTTTCAAAGTGGTTTGAAATTGCACCCCTTCCTAATCAAGAAGCAACTCCAGTAGCATAAGCATTCATAACACTCATTGTACCAAGACATGCAGTTTCTTTGGGATTACATTCTGATCAAAGACGATATTTTAAATCAGACTTATGGCAAGAATTAAAATATTGGATATTAAGAATACTTGCACTACGATTTTCCATCCGAAATCAGACGGAATGTCAAAAGATATAATAAAACTGTTTGTCAATACATTTTAATGTTTGACGCTGATAATCAAAAAGATTGGGATACTTTAATTCCTCTATTACTGTTAGACTAGAGAAGTTCCTAACAATAAGCAACCGCTTATTCTCGATCGAGGATGATTACCGAAAGTGTAATTAATCCTCTCTGATAACTTGTTAAAAAATCTTTAAACTTGAATAAAGTTCTATATATTTTGTTTTCCAAAGGCTTTGTTGGATCTTTTGTTAATTTTGTATAAGGTCCGTTTATTATTAGATCTTTAATTTTGTTTTCGTATTGAATTTTATTCAATAAATTCAACATTTCAACAACATTCAAAACAACAAACACGTTGAGATCTATTTTGTCCAAAACCAAACCTAACAATGAACAAGAAAGGACAAAGAATTGCATTTATAAAATACCTTGTGAATGCGATCAGTTTTATTTAGGTGAAACATCAAGGCCATTAAATGTTAGAATAAGTGAACATCAGTCTTATATTAAAAATAGAGAATTTGATAGATCTCAAATATGTAAACACGCATGGGATAATAAACATAGGGTTCAATGGAATAATTCAAATGTAGTCCTAAAAGAGACGGATGGTAAAAAAAGAAAAATCAAAGAAGCGGCTTTAATTATGCTAAATGAGGCCAATTGTGTCGCAAATTCCTCGGCAGAATGTAGTAGAATCTGGTTACCAATGTTGAAAGAGGAAGTTATTAATAAGAAAATACCAGTATTAGTAAGTCAGTAATATATAGAGGATACATTATTTATGTTTTTTTAAATAACGAAACATATAAAATCAGAATTTTGGTATTTATTGAAGGTAAACTAAATGCACGAACAAATACTTACTATGTCGGGATAGTATTATGAGGTTTTTTTCCTGGTTTTTCCCTCATAATTTACTATGGAATCACTAACAGGAGAATTTTACTGTCATCATGTCATGTGTTTGTCTTTTTAAAGACGAATTATATGCTATGATTTTTTCTGACGGATATTCTCAAGTTAAAGTTGATTTCATGTAATCGAATGAACTACCTATCTTATAAGTAAAGTCGTCCCAGGAGCGAAACTCAACAATATTGACAATATCATTTTAAAGTCGATTACTTTAAAATGCATAATGTATGTCTGAATTGTCAATATAAATGAGTCAGATAAAATTAAATTATTAGAAGAATTTTTCACTATGTAACAAAAAAACAAAATTTGTTTAATTTACTGTTTGTATTTTGAGAACGATTTCCGAAGTGGAAATTGAAACGTCAATAAACGTATTTTTATCTTTAATTGTGGCTTATTCCCAGTTAAATAGTAATTAGTTCACTATGAAGTTAAGATAACTAGCTATCTATAATAGGATATTTTTTCTATCTACAAACATATTTTTCCCTGAACTTCGTGGCGCTTTAGTATTTTCATCCACCCTTTAATTACCAGTTCTTTTGTTATATAGTCCAATAAAATTAATCTGAGAATGAGAATTTGTTTAAAAAACCATACAATCGTATCATGCTATATCTTGCTGCGTGGTGAGCTGCGAGCACAGTCTCCTCAAGGTCCTGTGTCCGTTATGTATGATGAAATTAATTTTTGGGTTTTATCATCCATCATACTTGGAGAATAATGTAACTCTAAAGTCTTCATTCATTGTTTGGGAGTGTTTCTTACTATATCGATTCTCGCAGATACGATAGGCTGTCTAAGATCTGTCAAATCCTATTGTAAAAATTAATGTTTTGTAAATTATGAAGATTTTTAAGAAAAAAATGAAATACTAGTAGTGATTATTATTTTCAAATAACAATAAGATAATGCACAAGAAGTCTACATTGATGATAATACAAAGCAATCAATAATAATACATACCTGAAGAACTGTGTTTAAAAACTTCGTCTGCTTTTCTGGAGATGTGGGGTTATTAATAACAATCATTGCTTTGTGTTTTCTTTCCAGATCAGCGTTCTTTCGCATGAGCGATTTTGCTTTTTTGTTGAGCAATTCTTGAGCTTCAGGATAGTGAGCTAGAGCCTCATTAAGGTCAGCTTTACTCAAGACAAATAAATTTGAGTATCCTTGAGACCTGTAATAATATAATAATATTGTATAACTTATTACAAGTTTTTTAACATACTATAAAAGATTTGTAATAATTTACAATTTATTGTTTGCCTTAATTTTTCCTATGGAATATTATCAATTGCGAGAAATTTTAGTAATCATCTGGTAAATACTCAATAGTAATCACCTGGGATTTTAAATATTAAGCAGATTTTTGTAACAGATGTAAAAAATATCTATTGTAACTTGTCAAAAACAGCAAATTTTGTGAAACATCCAGTAGAGTAATTTATTTCTCTCCTAAATATTTCTCACGGTATCATTCTATAACAGCTTTTCAAATTTTTTTCAGTAATAAAAAAATTATTTAAATAATTATTTTGGGCCACCCTTGATAATCCGACAAAATATCGTTATTGGCTACCAAGGATCTAAAAACCCAAAACAGTACTTTAACGAGGCAGTTTTTTGTCAATATAAATATGCCCAAGGCCTCCAAATCTTATTGTTTCCCGTTCTGCAGTAACTTCTTTATTTTGTACTTCTAGTTTTTTCTCGTATTTTCTCAATATCTCATTGCATTAGGGTCCAGGTATAGACATTTAATGCCTGGTTGCACCAACATATCTTAAACTTAAAGCGTGCCTTAAGCTCAACTTTCGAAACATAAGCGTTGCTCCATTGAGTCTTGCCACGTGAATTTCATCTTAAATTTCGTCTTAATTAAGACGTGCTTAGATAAGAATCGAAAATTATGGTGCAACGTAAGTGAGAGTTAAGGTGGACCTAGCTATAAGCGGAGCTTGGCTAAGCTGGAGCTTAAGATCTGTTGGTGCAACCAGGCATAAATTCTTTATCTATTATGGAGTCAGGTTTAAATTTTCAGTCAAACCAGATGTTTCATTCATTTTAAGAAAATCTGATAAAAGATCTAAGAGATTTAATTTAATTACAACAAAGCACCTGATATTAAATCTTTTTAACACTTAAATAATACATATTTTATTTTTTGATGTTATAAATATTTTTGTGCAGTCTCTTTTTTAATCATGATTAAAGGCGAAAAGGATTAACTAAACATTAATTTTTTTGTTCTTTTTATGTACTTTCATATACAGTTAATCCGTTTCACAGAGGACCTAAAGCTATATAAGACCTTTTTATGTTTGTAGTGTACATACTTGAAATATACATATTTCAAATATACTTTTTATGCATAAAAATTTAAAATTTGTTATTTTGACATTTATATCGGTCATTTATTTTGCCTTTCTTTTATATCATGATCATCCCTGTTTTTGGGCATTCAAATATCTAAAAACACTGGCACATCTTTTTGTGAAGAATTGTGTTTTTCTCTATTATTTTTTGTGGATTTGTGTATATCTTTCATGTATTTCTTATTTTCCTAAACGACCCCTCCCTTCATCTACAACGACTAAGCAATGGTAACTTCGAGTCACATAGTGTATCAGTGTTGAAGCCTCCTTGGTAATAGTTTAGTTCACTGTTTAGTATTCTATTACAAAAATATACATAAAACAGATAAAGAAGAATTTCAGAACTATTACATAAATTAAATGAGAAGCAATTTTGTCTTTTAGTAAATCTCGTTTAATGCAATATAAATAAACTGGTTTAAAAAGTAATAAAGACATTACCTTACATCTGCGGTTCTTCTATTCATTCCAGGTATTCCCAAGAGACTTATTTCTCCAAAAACAGATCCTTCTGATAATGTGGCAAGGACTTCGTTTTCATTTGGACCTATTACCTAAATATTGAAAAATAAAATAAAAAATATCTCAAAGAACCTAAATTAAAATTATATGTATATGCGCATGGAAATAATACTTTAAACTACATAAGTGCTGTTAAAAACTACAGCTATAAAATACCCTGTGAATGCAACAATTCTACGTGGGAGAAACCGCAAGACCACTAATCGTCAAGATAAAGAAGCATGAAACATATATCAAAAATAGAAACTTCGGGAAATCCCAGATATGCAAACATACACAACAGACCACAATAGAAACATGCATCAATAATCATAAAAGAAACAGACATGAAAAAGAGAAAAGTCAAAGAAGCAGCCTTCATCCTACTTAACGAAGAAAAATATGTATCAAACCTATCAGAAAGTACTTAGCGGGCATTCGTTGCTAATACCAAAAGAAGAAGTCAACAACAAGAATATACCAACAATAACGGAGTAAAAAGAGGTATAATCTTATACGCAATATATATGCAACACAAAATACACAAAGCACAAATCTATATTGCACAATTTACGTTACACAACCACATTTACAATACAGTTTACACAAATCTGTAACACAAAAAATACACAAAACAGTCAGAATGTTACATTCCTAGAGTAAATACACCATCCTCAGATTTTTTAGCAATTTACATGCTGTTGTCTACAAGATCGAGACCAAGTATATAGAATTTTAAAAGGACATAACCTAAAATCAAATAACCTGGTGATACGTTTTCGGTTTTTCATAATAATCTTTGTAAAAAACAGTTGAAACGTTGCATTAAAAATGTAATTTTGATAACTAATAATTGTGGCTTTTTCCTGAAAATCCACAAATATAAACATAATATTTTAAACAAATGTCTTTTAAACACGTAAAATATCGGATTGATAAGTTATCCTACACTCAGATTAATGTAAATAAATTGCTAGATCGAAAATTCTCGTCGCATGAAGGTGGGAACAATACATTTAAATGGATATTTTAGGGTAATAATGATTCAAAATTGGGTTATAAAAACTAAGTATATTTATCGTTATAGAAAGTATTTTAAAAAACAATATATACATTTTTTGATCCCGAAAAAAGTACGTGCCTTTAGGAACAAATATATATATGAATGTAAGAATTAAAAGTTATTAGTGAGATAGTAAGACAACAACAAGTTACTCGTTCTGGCCATCGAAATAAAAAGCGAAACTAAACCAAAATATCGGAGAGAACCACAAAAAATCGAGTGGTGGATGTTAAAAGATGAAAAAAGGTATATTCAAGGCAAGAGTAGTAGAAAAAATCTGCTGGAATATAAAGGGAAGTCCTAATACAATTTGGAGGAAGATGGTCAGTATCATTAGAGATATTGCTACAGAAATACTTGGAAAAACGCCAGGAAAGAAGTTTGAGAATAAAGAGACTTGATGGTGATCCAATGAAGTTCAACAAAAAATAAGAGAAAATTATATAGTGGAAAGAAAATAGTTCGGATACAAATCTTCAAAACTATAGCTAAAAAGAAAGCGAAACTGGCAATGTCATAAGCTACAGCAATATGATCAACTTGATAACAGGGAAGGAGAAGCAGATATAGAATATAAAATAGTCAAATATAGAACAATAAAAGCAAAAGATTTTAATCAGATTAGATGTATTCTAGATAAAAATAGTAAAATACTAATTCACGAAAAGGATGTTAAAAATACATATAAAAAGTAACTTGACAGGTTATTAAATGAATAATTTGACAGACAAAAAGCTGAGTTAACAGAGATAGTAACAGCAATGGTCACAAAAATAATAAACGAAGAAGTGGTTCAAGCAGTTCAAATTTTAAACAAAGAAAAAGCAGTTGGAGCAGATAATATTTTTGGGGAAGTATGGAAAGCATTAGGATCGAGAGGGACAAGTTACTTAACAGGTCTATCTAATAGAATTACGGAAGTTGGACAAATGCTAGACGCTGTATATTAGTACCTGTTTACAAAAACAAGGCAGATGTACAACAATGTATAAACTACAGGGCCATAAAACTACTTAGTCACACTACGGAAATATGGGAGAGAGTAATTGATATACCTACGGATAAGTGAAGAAACCAAAATATCCGACAATCAGTTTGACTTTATGCAAGGCAGATCAACAACAGATGTTATTTTTATTATAAGGCAGTTGACCAAAAAATACAGGAATAAAGAAACAAACGCTCATATGGTATTCATTGATCTTGAGAAAGCATATGATAAAGTTCCTCAAAATATTCTGTGGTGGGCACTCAATAAGAAAGATTCAATTAGAATCAGACTCAATAAGAAAGGAGTCCCCGGAGAATATATGTAAAGATTGTGAGAGACATAAATGAGGAAGTAACAACTAGTGTTAAGACAGGTGTGAAAAAGACTGATAAATTGCATGTGAAAGTAGGATTGCACCGAGGCTCGGTGTTGAGTTCTTATTTATTCTCATTATTTCTGGATCAAATAACAGCGAAACTACAGGGTAATATTTCGTGGTGCTTAATGTATGCTGATGATATAGTGTTATTAGGAAACAGTGAAAACGAGTTAGAACAAAAACTAGAACATCTCTTGAGAAAAAGGTTTAAAACTTAATAAGACTAAAAACAGCGTATTTGAAATGTTCATTTAAAGATGAAGTTAGTACAAATAGAATGATATCTTTGGATGGTGAAATGATTGTGAAGAGTAATAGTTTTAAATACCTAGAATCAGTATTACAGAGTAATAGGAAAATGAAGAAGAATGTCGCAGAATTAGGGTTGGATAGATGAAGTGAAAGGAAGCGAGTGATATGATGTGTGACAGAAAAATTCCAATGAAGCTGAAGGGAAAATTCTATTCAGCTCTAATTCTAACAGCCATAAGACCAGCTATGATGTACGACACTGAATGTTTGGCAGTTAAAAAGAAGAGTCCATGGGGCGAAAATGAGAATGATGGATGAGTGGAGTGACAAAAAAGGATAAAATTAGGAATAAGTATATTAACGGAAATCTACGGGTGGCATCAATTTTTACCAAGATGAGAGACTATAGGTTAGGATGGTTTGGTCATGTTCAAAGTCGAGATGTATATCAAGGACCTACTCGAAAGAGTAGGAGAGGAAGACCAAAAAAGGACATGTCGGTAAAGGGTATTGATATTGATATGACCCAAGATAAAAATTTGAGAAGAAATGTAATTAGGGAAGTTAGACCCTACATAGGGATAAAAGTAAAGAGAATGATGATAAATAAATCATATTTTTTTCTAGTCCTATTCATTTAAAAAGAATCTTGAACAACCACTATTCATGTGGGGTTTGGTAAACAATTTGATATTCTTACTATGCTTATCGTAATACCTGAACTTTTCCTGATTGCACTATATACATTTCCTTTCCAACATCTCCTTTTTTGCAAATTATATCTGAGGGTAAGTATAGTACAGATTTCAATTGCAGCACCAGTTCTCTAAGAAGTGCTTCGTCGCAGTCCGCAAACAGTTTGACTTTGCTCAGAGTTTGGATATGGACGTTTATAGCTATGTCCGTTTTCATCTTGTGGGGTAGGCAATCCATTATAGTGTTTTCATCTAAAAATAATTTTAATGAATACACTTTAATCGGCTATTTATTATTATACGAAATTTTGAAAAATGTCTGCTAAAGGGGAACAGCCTATATATTGCCAGAATGATTTCCAATCTCCGATAGGATCGGAACTTGAAAAAGAAGAAAGGGAAACAGCTTATACGATTTTATTAAATTACTATTATAGGTATTTTTTATTAATTCAAACTTACCTAAAGTTCTTTGTGTTTCCCAAGTATAGTTAAACCACAATTGGACTCTTCGCTGCATATCCTGGGGTAAATTCAATCTACGCATGTACTCTAAAGTCTCATTTACCAACTTTCGGTACTCGGTTTTGGATCTGGTAGCTGTGGATATAATATCTCGAATTTGACCTATTAAAAGAGCGAATACGAAGACCCCCATCAGCCATGAGAAGGTCATAAACATATATTCTATTTCTTGTGTTGGTTTGGGATTTTTTCCTAAAAATTTAAGAAATTAAGTAACCCATTACGTTCATAATTAATTCTTGTAAAGACTGTACTTTGCTAAAATGTTAAATTTAGCTGTAATGACGAATACTCAGTGATTTCCATAGCATACCTCCAATAATAATTACACCAGTAAGTGAAAGCTTTCTAAAGAAATAAATAAATATTCACATCTCGATTTCCTCAATTTAATTTCTAATTTTTATCGATTTATTAATTTAAATTTTTCATTTAACTGCTCCTTTTTAGCTATATTTTTCTGATCTCATTTAATATCTAACCCATTATCAATATTATTATGTATTCCTTTTTTTTCTGTTCCATTGGGATGTATATAGGTACATTTTGTTTGTCCTTCATTTTTATTTCTCCCATCTTTTATCTTAATATTATGTTTCGCATAACAAGGATATAACGGAAAACACAAAACTACATTTACCAAGATAAGTATGTAGGAAGATTATGAATGGAAAACGACTGTTTTCGGGCTTATAGGCCGTGGTCTGACATTGTGAAGGTGAACTTACAAATTTATTAAATTTAACGAATTCCATGAATTCTAAGAACTAATTCACCACTAAATAGAGAAAATTATACCTGTATATCTTTGATATGTAATACTTTTATACTTGTCCCTGGTATATCCAGGGCTCTTTTATCAAGGCTAAATCTAACCTTCTCATAGCAATAGTTTTCATATATTTCGGCGCCCTCATGACCAATTAGAACTCTATATACTAAAAGGTACTGGCATACCAGTACTGCCCTACATATTTTAAAAATGGACCACCTCCAAGGCATTTATAAATAGGGATGCACTGGGGACGTCTCGATTCGCACTTTGTCTTGCAAGGCGGGACAGCGATTTTTGTAATGTGACATGGGACGGGACAGCGATTTTTCTGCGAGATGGGACACGCGACGGGACTGGCGCTTTGCCCCGCATGTCCCGCAAAAATTGCACTTTTATTATTATCGGAATAATTTGGCAATTAAAGTCATACAAAATTTAGAAGGGAAATTCTTAATGGAAAGTAAAAATTTCGTTTTGTACGATGGTATCAAATTTAATTATTAAAATTTTATACAATTGTACAAAAAGAAGTTTTTACAGTAGACTCATGAATATCCGAGCTAATTGGGATCGCGCATACCTCGGATACCAAAACACTGGGTTAAAGCGGAGATTTGGTATTTGCTTAAAATAAACAAAAAATTCAAAAGTTATGACGTATGTAATTAGTTTATTATGTACAATTGAAGTATGTAAACGTGTATACAGATACATAGTTAGAATATATAGATAGGAAAACATTTATGTACTGGATCATCTTCATGTTTTAAAAAAGTATTTGATAGATTTCTGCGTTAACTTGCGTCAACTGCGATGTTGCGCTAACACTGAAGATGAAGGACATCGGTAGAAGTTGACTCTTCCTGTTGCTCAATGTAGGCGAGGGCAGCTCCAATCGCCTTCAATCCTTCGGAGTGAGATATTTTCTCGATTATATCATCTGATCATTCTCAGTGACATTGTGTGGGTATATACATGTCGCCGATTGCATCATTTTGATGATGCCCTTTGATTCTTCGATTTTTCAATAAGGAGAGGTCTTAATTTTAAGGATCCAGAAGAGTTGCTACACATCAAAAGATTTACTCGTTCTTTGCTTTTTTTGAAACCAGGCGCAGTTTTTTTTATTTTGAGCTGTCAGTGTTTTGGTTGGAAGCATTCTGAAATTGAAACCCGTATCGTGACAATTGAAGATTTATTCTAAAATGTGACAACGTTCAGTTGTCAAATGCCATACCTTTTCTTCCATCTGACGAGCCAACTCTCACTTGCAGTAAAATTTTCCTGGCCATCCTTAAACCGTTTGTGTAACTCGATTTGGACCACTGGACCACTAACTGGACTTCCCAATCCTCAAAGATTAGAAAACCACAAAAATAAGGCTTCAGATTCATATAGATTCATATTCATTCAGATTCATATTCGTATTCTTATTTCTTTATATTTTTCCGCAACAAATCACTCCCACCACTTACACTTTTATTAACCCACTGTTTAAGATCTTTTCGTTTATGTATCCAATCTCCCAGTCACTCCTCCAACACCTAGGTCAACAGAAACCGTCTTTACTTAATCACCCTTATCCAAGCGTTCTATAGCATTCAATTTTGACCATTCAATACCTTTGAGTATGTGTGGTGTGGTGTTGTGTAGTGTGGTGTGGTATGGTGTGGTGTGGTGTGGTGTGGTGTGGTGTGGTGTGGTGTGGTGTGGTGTGTGTGTATATGTGTATGTGTATGTGTGTGTGGTAGAAAGGTAGAAAGATTTTGGGTTGATCCGGCGGCAAGGTTTTTTTTTGATGGAATGGGGTTTAGATGTTTTTGAATGCTCTTATTGATTTGGGTTTTATGGTAGCCGTTTTGTAAGAGTGTTTGCCTTATTGAATTGATTTCGGATAACCTATGGTTGTTGTCAATGAATGACAACAGAATGATGACAGTTGATGACAACTGAATTAAGTTGGGCGGGGTGTTGACAACTGAATTAAGTTTCCGGTACACGGAATAGGAAAAACTTTGAGGTAAGTTTTTCTGAAAAAGGGCATCAAGGAATGACAAAGAAGCTTCAGTCTCAACTTCCATCGTGAATTGGATACTAGGATGTATTCCATTCAGGTGGGAGAGGAAGAAATCTAACGCGTCCTTACCATGAGTCCAAATGACAAAAGTGTCATCAACATACCGTAACCAGCAGGTAGATTTGAGATTTGATGAGGACATGGCTGCTGTTTCGAAATGTTCCATGAAAATATCAGCTTTTACGAGAAAGGGGGGAGATCCCATTGAGGCACCTTTGATTTGACGATAGAAATGATGGATTGGAATGAAAAGTATGTATTAAACATGCAGTGTTTTATAAGAGATAGTGTGTCTTGGGGATTTGATGTTTAAAGTCCAAGATGAAAATGGTTTTATCGAAGGGAATGTTAGTGAACAAAGAAACAATGTCAAAACTAACTAGTATATCTGAGGGTGAAATAGAAATATTTTTCAGAAGATCAATAAAATGAAAAGAGTTTTTGACAAAAGACGAAGCTTGTTCGGCTAATGGTTGTAAATATAAATCGAGATGTTTTGCCAATTTCTGAGTGGAGCAGTTGTATGTACTGACGATGGGCCTTGAAAGAACATTGGGCTTATGGATTTTTGGAGGGCCGTATATTTTTGGAATTTCAGATGACTTTTCTCTGGGTATAAGAGATTTTTTGATGTCTGGAGGTAGAGTAGACTTATTTATAACGGATTTGGTAGTCTTTTCTAGATATGTGGTGGGATCTTTTGGGACGCGTTTGTATTCTGTGGAATTGAGAAGTTCGAAAATTTGGTCGAAATAATTAGAAGAGTTGAGAATGACGGTGGCATTACCTTTGTCGGCCGGAAGGATGACAATGTCAGGGTTTTATAAAGTTCTTTGAGGGCACGTCTTTCTGAAAGACTGATATTTGACGGTGGGGGTTTGAAAGAACGGAGAAATCTGGCAACATCTTGTCTGGCAATTTCGGCTTGGTCGGAAGGGAGATAAGAACTAGCTCCTTCAGTTTGACAAATAATTTTCTCTGTTGGAATGGAAAAAGGGGTAACAGAACAACTGAAGCCTTTTGACAGAGCTTTGGTAGCAGAATCGGATATTTGAATATCTGAGAAATTGCGGACAACAGTAGAGGGTTGTTGATTCGAAATAAGCTGTGAATTTTGCCGAGAAATAAGTTGGTCCAGTTTGCGTTTCTGGGTTTGAGTTTTGTTCTCAGAAATGTGTTGGGCTTTTTGGTGAGAAAGACGATCGAAGGTGTCCCATAATAATGGGTGGATATTGAAAGAGTGAATGTCATTGTAGGTTTTAAGAAGTTGGGAATTTGTTGAATCTAAGTTGCGGCGTGTGGAATGAATTGAATTTCTAAGAAGAAGCGAAAAACCAGTTGCTCTAAGGATTTTGGAAATAGATGGAGATTTAGTGTGATGTTTAACTTAAAGATATATATATATATATATATATATATATATATATATATATATATGTGTGTGTGTGTGTGTGTGTGTGTGTGTGTGTGTGTGTGTAAAAGTGAAAGAATTAACCCCCCAGAGCTGCAGGATGCCTGAATTAATATGGAGGAATAAAAATATCGGGAAAGTAATGAAAGGTAGAATTTACAGAACAGTCATCAGACCAATAATAACAAACGCGGCAGAAACATAACCCAATGCATAGAGAACAAAAAGAATGCTAGAAACAGCAGAAATGAAAACCATTAGAAAAATTGATGGTAAGATACTATAGGACATTCGTAGTAAATATACGACGAAGATTCAAAGTGGAGAACACCAATGACTAGGTAAGGAAAAAAATCTAGAAAAGAACGATCTTATAAGCCGAATGATAACAATACGGTAAAAACGGCAAAAGGTAGTTCCTCAATAATAATACGATCAATGGGAAGACCACGGAAATGATGAAATGAAAATTAAAGTCATATTGAAAAAAACAGATACAGTATTGTCCATATAAAACAAATAAGAAGACAATATCATTCCTATATGGGAGCGAGAAATAAGTTATAACGAAAAAAATATCAGGGATGACCAAGCTGGACAGTAAGAAAACAAAACTATTAGAAGCAAGTTAAAACAGAAACCAACAGGAACAAAAATGGAACAGAGAAACCTGAACTGTGCTATGGACACATAATTAGAATGGTAGAAAATAGATTCGTAAAGAAAGTGATGTGTGAAAGTGAGGCTAGATGACATAGAAGAAGAAAGGGTAGGCCTAGAAAGAGGTGGATGAAACAAATTTAGGAAATCTTAATTAGGGGAGAGAAAATTTTTCACCAAATGAAGGAAATTGTAGAACAGGCGTTAAGGAAGTAAATAAAAGATAGATAGACATCCTAGAAGCTATTAGTTCCTTCGTGCTCACGCCTTGCCACCTGTCATATGTGGTAGATTATTCTTTAGTTGAGAACTATGTAATTATTTTCTAATTTATATTCGAATCTGAGATAACTGCATAAACAAGAAATTAAATACTGCAATATAAAATATATATATTTCTATAAACTTACCTATAGAAGTCGCTGTTTTGGTGGCAAAATAAAAACACTTAATGTAAGCATTTCCTTTTCCATTAAAAACAAAATTATTGCTACCAATTCCCTCCCAGGCAGAAAACGAATAGTATGCACATGCGTTCAGATGAATAAGATACATCATATACATTAAAGTTCTGGAGATCCTGATAACGTAAGGATTTGACAATAATTTGTCGACTAAGCTGAAGAATTCCCAAAAAGTGTGAACTTTAAAGAACTTTGGCAGACGTAGAATTACAAATTCTGGACCCCAGATTATGTAGAGAAAGTCTAAGGGTAGCAGAGATAACAAATCTAGCTAAAAAGAAAAGTAATAATTAGTGTTTAATAACTAATAATTAACAATTTATTTATTTGTAATTAATATATTCAGGTTGACCTTGTAGACCTACTTTTCACACTGTCATTTGAAAGATCTTTTTAGTTTTCAGGGCAGACTTCTAAGAATGTTATATGTTTTGAAGTTGCGTTTGTTACCTGATCACTTTCTAAACAGATCTTTTCTAGATGTTTCTGGCGCTAGTGGAATAGTACTCTGCAGTTGCAGATAACACGTTAGGCCATTTCCTTCGCAATTCTACAGAATCCGCCTATGACTCTGACTAATTTGCCCAATTAATAGAAATAATATATGAGTCAGCTGTTTCTAGTGCGAATACTTGTGATTTTATCTGAGAGAGAGCAGAAAATTTTTTTCAGAACATTTTCCAGCAGGTTTCACTAAGTTCATTTTCCCATTTTCGGACATCTTAAACGATGCGGCATTTTGGAAGTGGTGTTGGTCCGATAAAAGCAGTGGTAACTCTTTATTTTAGACGAGGCTATGAGGAATCTCGTTGTAAAGATCCAAAGGACTTTTTTATTTTTTCTTTATTTTATTTAATTCAGAACTTGGTAATTTTTATGCGACCCATTATAACTTATTCCGTT